GCTAGTGATCTAATGATCCTTTTTTTGAGAAACGAGTCTTAGGGAAGAAAGTATACCTAAGAAAAAGTAAGATACTGTAGATGTATTTTTTCTGTCAGTTCCCTGAGTTGTTTTACTTGCTTGCTTGTGTATTTGTTTGTTTTCACAGAATTGGATATTATAAATGCAGGACTTCACACATACGAGGCAAGGGCTTTACCACTGAAATACACTTCCAGTCCTAGATCCCACTTTCTTATCCTTGTTTTATTAGAATCCATATGCTCAGATGTCATTAAATTGAGAAGTCCTGGAAGACCTAAATCCTGAAGCTTAATTAGTGCTAGAGACCAAGAATGAGTACACGAGTGAAATGAATTTATGCATAATACATTAAAAAACATAAGCAATCTTAAAAGGATAACCACAGAACTTATCACAGGTAATGGCAATAATCAATAATATTAATTGTCTTACTTCATGAATTAAAATGTAATCCTATTGGTATAACTTATAGAGGTCCTAGATTTACTTTTCCCTAGTTCCACTCAAAGATGTCATTCTAGGCAGTGCAGGATATAATTTTTGTCAATTTTTTCATTATCTAAAAGGCATGAAAAACCATTCTTTTTGTGGATTGTGGGGAAAATCAGTCCCTAGCTTTATGATAACTTAAGGACAAATGTTATTCACACACATATATTTGTGTGTAATGTATTCTGGGCATACCTAAAGGGCAAATTCTCTCAATACTTTTTCAAATAGGTGATTCTCACCATTGCTGAAGGAGACCAAGGATAATACTCAACTCCTAAGTAATCTCAAACCAATATAATTTTATTGAGGCTGTTGTATCCAGCACTGGAACTTCCATATTACAGATTTTCAAACGTGTATAGTGTGTGTGTGTGTGTGTGTGTGTGTGTGTGTGTGTGTGTGTGATAGAAACAGAGACAGATATAAATCTTCAAGTTTTCCTGATGCCCAAACCTAGGCCAAACTTCAGCCCTGATCTAGATTCCTTATACCACTTCACTCATTCTCATCACTGAAAGCACATTTCTACAAAGAGAAGTGTCAGAAAATCATCGAAAATACTCAAGAAACACCTGTTGAAGTAAAATGAATTACCAAGAGCCCCTGAAACAAAGATATTAGCCTCATTGCTTAACTTCATATACAACAAAGGACTCTATTTCAAAAATTTTACCAGTTAGTATTCCCTAATCAAGTTACAAACTTGATTCTGAATGATTGTTTCCAAAATTCACTTTCATGATTAAAGGCCAATATTTTCATTACCAAATTACACTTACAAGGCTACAAAGCTCAGAATGTTCCAACTTTATGAGCATATAGTTAAAACATTTTAGGGAAATTTGCTTACATAGATTCTAGATGGTTTAAAGAAAATTACTTACTAGTCATACCTTGCAAATTGTCTAAACACAAATTCTAGCTCATCTAGTGAATTCTAGGATTCCGGTGGTAATTCAAGTCCCTTCCCCTTCAATCAGGTTTAACAAGCCTGTAAATTCCCAAATCCATCACCGGACAACCTCTTGTCCACCATTTCATCACAGGTTATTGATGTAGTGGCTGCAAGGACCATCTGAGCTTCGAAGACCTACACTGAAGCTACTGCCTTAAGTAGAGTTCAGCAAGCATCTGGAGGTTTCAGATGGAGTATCTCAGTTAAATCAGGACACAACAAGTCAGTAGAGTTCCAAGCTACATTCTAAAAGCCTAGGTGTGTCAGCAGGCATCCATTCTCTGCAAGATCCTGTTGCTCTACCACATGGATCTCAATAAACCAACAATCACTTGGAAAAATAACAAAGGAATCTGGAGTGAGGACATGTTTGTCAGGTGAAACTAGGAGTCCACCTTTCTCATCACATTTTCATAACCAGATTTCAAAGCATCTTTGAAGGCCAAGTTCTAAAAATAGATCTCTGATTTTACAAAGAAAGAGAGACAACAAGGAGGAACCATCCCTAGGAACCATAACCTACTGATAGGCCAAAAACTATTAATAACTTTCTAAACCAGATTAAACTTGACAGTAACAAGGAAAGAAAGGAAAAATACATTGAATGCTTAGCATGAGCCAAGCACTATCCTAATATTATGTCATCCAATTCCCAGATATCTGTAATTGTCCCCATGTTACCCCTATGGAGACAGATAAAGATCCAGAAACTTACCCAAGGTATTACAGGCAGTATATGTTGGAACTTTGATACAAAAATGATCTTTCTTACTGTAAAGTTAATATTGTTCTATTGCATCTTGTCATGAGCCAAAAACAGATTCTTAAACAGCTTTTAGGGGAAAAAAAAGATGCATCTGATGGGTATCAAAGTCCTTAGATAAAGTGTTAGGTATCAACTCAAAGTTGAGTTCATTGAGCACCCCCCAAAACAGGAGTTTCCAAGACCCACAGGACAGAGAAAATGTTTGTGTCCTATGATAGGCACAGGCAGGAAGGAAACCCAGACATGGGTATAGTCTCAATTACACCCTACTCCTCCATTCCTGGTCTCTGTTTATTTTCACAGAATAACCTTTCAAAATTGAGGCAAGCAGCTGGGCGTGGTGGCTCACACCCATAATCCCAGTTCTTGGGAGACTGAGGCAGGAAGATCCTTGCAAGTTGGAGACCAGCCTAAGCTACAAAATGAGCTCAAGGCCAGCATGAACTGCATAGTGAGACCCTGTCTCAAAAAGACCCCCCCAAAAAACCTGAGGCAAGGAAAGTCTCTGCAGGTGCCACCAGGTCAGTCATTAGAAACCAGCACGTTAGGTGTTTATAAATGGTGCTTGGGAAAAAAAAGTGGTGCTTGGGCCTCTCTGGAATGGAGACAATATCTGTTCTTAAAAACTGCTGCTGAAATGACCTGATATATGTCGACTTGTGCCTTGATGCTTATTAACAAAGGAAAACTGAAGGATTTAGAAATGTAAAATCTTACCTATAGATACCATAAGAATCACAATTTACTTGCACAACTCTACGGATATACTACGATCCATTAATTTATGCATTGTTATAGTGAATTTCATAGTATGTGATGAAGCATAGATCATAAAAGTATTCTATTTGTAAAAGTCTTCTTTATCTTCTGGGCAATACTTTTGAAAGAAAAGTAATATTTAAGGGTGTAATACTGGCTTTTAACTCATTCTTATCCAACAAGATGAAGCCCCTCTTATATATAAAACATTATGCTAGATGCTAGGAAATGCATACTGGTAAAAAAAATGAGCTTGCAATAATCATACAGTTTGCTCAGTATTATTATAGGCCACACGTTACCTTCATCAGTGAAGTAGAAATTGCTTTCCCATTGTTTAAATTGGGAAGCTGAGACTCTCAGGTTTATTACATGTCTTCCCAAACACAGCTAAGGCTTAACTTTAAGTCTTTTTTACTAAAAAGTCTGTAATTGTATCTATTATGCTAAACAAATGAGAAAAGGGAGAATGACTTGAATGCAAAGAATACATTAGAGTAAGCCAGGCATGGTGGTGCACCCCTGTAATCCCACCATTCAGGAGGTTAAGGCAGGTGGATTACTATCAGTTTGAGGCTAATCTGGGCGCCCTAATGAGTCCAGGCCAGCCTGAGCTATGTGGTGAAAGCCTGTCTATAAAGAAACAAATAAAATAAATGGAGGCGTTCTGAAAGTGGGCAGACTATAGAGAGAATTTCAACGTTATAAATCAGAATGCTACAGTTGCAGTAAAAGGACGGTTTTAAAACTCTCAGTAAGGAATCTGGGTGCTGAAAGTCTTCTTGACACAGCACTTATTTGAAAACAAACACAATTCCAAAAAATTCATAAAACTGATAATGACCATAAGATCTAAGGAAAACATAACTTTCTTAATAGTACAGCTGTTCTAGTCTAGGATTTTCCAGTTATGAGAACAATGAGTATATTTCAGGGGAAAATCCATTAACAATTCATGAAAAAATATTTATTCTAAGTGTTTACTGAGCTCAAGGCACTGCGTTAATTATGAGTTGAGTAAGATACAATAAACTGCCAGCAAATGAGTGCCCATATAGGATCTGACTGACCCCAGATACAGCATACTGTATACACAACTAGGTATCACAGTTACAGTTGATATACTTCCTGTACTTACCCAACTGACACTTACCCAAGGGTCCAGGCCCAAAGATGTAGACTACTAATAAAAAGCACATTCTAAAATTCACCTTGAACACTTCTGAAATCATTACTTTTATATATACACCATTATACTTTGGTAGCCTAAAAAGTCTTCATGGGGCCAGAGGGCATTTCTTATTTCCTAGCTTCCAGCATTTTTATATTACTTATTTACATAATCTGTGTTTGAGTGGACCCACTACTCCTAAAATGGTGTATAATTCTGTAAAAAAGACACAGAGATAAGCTAGTATAATAGTAGCTATGAGCAATGGTATTGTAAAAGGATCAAATCCTGCTTCCTTCACCTTCTAGCTATGACATGGAGACTCTTATGCTCTGTAAATGTATCTCTTCATCTATTAAATGGTTAAAAAAAAACAAGTAGAAATGCTGTGAAGAGATGAAACAGTATGTGAAGTATATTCAACATTCTATTTCCTAGTATACAGTAATTTCTCTATATGTGGCAGTAATTCATGTGTAACTCATGTGCAAAAACATACGAGTTACATAAGCCTAATAGTTCAGTTCATTTTCAGTTAGATAACAGTTTATCTAATTGAAATATAATCCTTGCTTTTCACATGTGCATTAAAAGTGTATTTTAAAAGTTCATTTTAAAAACTGTCCAGCAACATGTCCTTATATCAGAAGGTGGAGCCAGTACCAGTTTTTCTGCAATCATTTTACAGATGGGAATGTGAAGAAGGTGGAAGATAAACATGCAGACAGGTGGAGTTAGGTTGGATTGAAAATGAATCAGCCCATCCCATTGAAGACAGCACCCACATGTTATAAGCTATATAAGGGTCACTTTCCCAATTCATCATCACCCTGCAAGCTCCATCAGGCTTTATCCTACTTCTTCCTTTGGTGAATCAGGTGAGAGAAAACTCATCGAGCTATCACTATGGATATTTAGTGCTATGCTTTACAGAAATGCAGGAGTGTCCGTTAAAACGGAGATCATGTTATAGTTTGTCAATATGTTTTTCTTTCTTTTCTATTTTTGGTCTTGGATTAGTTTAGTTTATTCTTGGGTCATTCTAGAATGTTTGTCTTTATGTAAAAGAATAATACAAGCAGCTATTTGTCTTTTCTAGCTATTTCACAATAAAGATACAGAGATAAGCTAGTATAATAATACTTAAGGGTACTGTAATAGGCTCAACTCCTGCTTCCTTCACCTTCTAGCTATGACTCTGGAGACTTTTGGATGCCATAGTCTCCTCAGAATTTTTGAATGCCACATTTTATAAGGAAGAGGCTAGTATTATTGCAGTCTCTTCTTTGTTTAGTGTTAGTTCCTAGACTTTATGATCTAATTACTCACTATTCAAACTGCTACCTGTATTACTGAGCTTTTCTCTCTGAGACCAATTAAACAGAGCAGTGTTTGATCAAGTGCTAAGATTAGGACAGGTCCTGAGCTCTGATAGGGATTATCTATGAAGTACCAAAATCCTGTTAGCCCACTTTGCCCATTTTTAATTTTCTAAAGTCCTTTAGAATCTAATTTAGGTTCTGGTAAGAAAGAACATAGATATCATAATAGAATTCCTATGACTTCTGACAAAAAAAAAAGCAGCAGTATAACTACAAAGACAGATTAGGGCAATGATATCTGGATGGTTCTGATAACTTTGGAAGCCCTAGGACAACACCCAAAACAACAAACAACCCAATGTGGACAGACATTATACAGGACTATATTTGATTAGGACGAGAAATATGAGGACCTGATATCTACTTCCAGTTGGGCCAATAACATGCTAGGACTTAATCTTAGCAAAGAAATTAAAAGATAAACTTCATTGTGTTGAAAGGTGTTGTAAATCCCTGACCCATTCTTCTTTATTGAGTTTAAAAGAGAAAAGAGGTTTGAAAGTCATATTAAAGATGACAAAGGTTGATGAAAAGAAAATTAATAATAGAATCTTTTATTTCTCTTTGTCCCTCTGTCTCTGTCTCTGTCTCTGTCTTGTCTCTGTCTTGTCTCTGTCTCTCTTTGTCTCTCTCTCTCTCTCTCTCTCTCTCTCTCTGTCTCTCTTACTAGAGTCACTTAAACTTGCAAAAAGATGACAGATCTCTTAAGAAGTCTTGTCACCATCATTGATATTTTCTACAAATACACTGAGCAAGATGGAGAATGTGGCACATTGAGCAAGGATGAGCTAAAGGAACTTCTAGAGAAAGAATTTCATCCAATTCTAAAGGTAAGGACCATGTGCTAGGACTGAAAGCTGATGGGATCCTATACATGCTCTGTTACAGGACCAAGATTAGTTAAACAGTACTCAAACACAGTGGTCTTTGAGAAAATTCTATGAGCAGTATTTTGGGGACATAATAAAATTTATTGCAGCAACATGTATTATTAGGAGCATGTGGTAAGCAATACTTTAGTGAATTCATATCATTTATAGGGTATTCAAGTGGCTACATTATAAAATCTATCATAAAAATTAGTAAAAGGCAGGACACCTTTTAATACTGATACAACGGCAGTGACAGCTTTGCAAATATTTTATCTATATAATTTCTATAGCACTTTTCTTATAAACTTATATCTTACAACAATGGTCAAATCATTTAGAATACACTGAAGCAGCCAGGCATGGGGAACATACCTATAATCCCAGAATTTGGGAGACTGAGGCAGGAAGATCACTGTGAGTTCAAGTCAAACCTGGGCTACACAGTATGTCTGGGTCAGCCTGAATTATGTAGTGAGAACATGTCTCAAAAAAATGTATACCTGAAGCACATATTTTTTAAAAGGTGACTTTTTGACTCAATTTCTTATGCATTCCCATCTTATATAGCCTCAAACTTTTCTAATTTACTCAGGATTCCACTGCTGAAAAAGCAAAAATCCAAAACACAAATTAATAATTATCAAACTGGAGAAACAATGTAAAGGTATATCATCTACAAAGGGAGAACAAAAAACCTGGGATAATTAAAAACTGAAAATAAATTATAAGCATTTTTACAACTAGTTGGGGAGGATTCTGGTATTAACTGCAAAATAATAGGTAGTAACACAGTATGTGTCAACATACATGTTTAAAATTTCTGCAAATATATAATTTGCTGAACTTGTGTTATTCCACACCTTCCTATATGCTATACCTGAGCACTTAATCCTTTTGCTTATCCTTGAAATGTCTTCTTCCAAGAATCCTGTTAGTCTATTTTCTACTACCCCTTAATACATTCTAGGTACTATTAACCCAAAGTAATCCTCAATTTAAACTACAACTACATAATGTCAAAAAGACACAAATTAATATCCTTACTTGGATGTTTTAACTGAAAATTTGGGCAAGACTAACTAGGTCTCCCTTTGTATGTCATTCATAAACAGAACCCAGATGATCCAGAAACAGTGGATGTCATTATGCAAATGCTGGATCGAGATCATGACCAAAGACTAGACTTAATTGAATTTCTTCCAATGGTATTCAAGCTAGTTATGGCCTGCAACAATGTTCTCAGCAAAGAATACTGCAAAGCTTCAGAGTCAAAAAAGCGTAAGCATGGTCATCAGCAAGAAGAAGAAAGTGAAACAGAAGAGGAAGAAGAGACACCAAGACAGAAATCAGGTTATAGACGTTCCAGTTGGCAAGAGGGAGAGGAACATGGTTATAGTTCTGGGGGCTCCAGGGGAACTGCAAAACATAGACATGGGTCAAACTGCAGGAGACTGGAAAGACAAGGTGAAATGTCCATCTCAGAGGGATCTGAGACAAGTCACCATGAGTCTAGCTATGGTCATTCCTGGAGTAGTGGCGAAGAGAGACGTGGTTCAAGCTCTGGAAGGCTGGAAGAAAGAAGCAAGTCACATGGTAGACTCTATAGGGAATCTGGTGAGGAACAGGAAGCTAGAGCTGAGTCAAAGAGCCCAGAAAAGAAACATCATGGTTCTCTGTCACATGGACTAGGGATGAAAGGACATGAACCATACTCTACTCGGACAAGAAAGAGTGAAGGACAAACACTTGTATCTATCTCAACAGATTTGGGAGGCAGCAAAGAACAAGGTCATGCATGTGGATATAACAATTCCAGTGGATGTAGAAGACCACAAAATGCTTCTAGTTCTTGTCACACAAGTAGATCTTGCAGTCAAGAAAATCAATCTAGCTATAAACTGTCAGGTTGTCAATCAGGAAGTAGTGGAGGTTATAGTCATGGATGTATCTCAGGAAGTCATTCCTCTGGATGTCCTCAGTCTGAGCCTAGCTCCTGTAGGCATTCTTGTAGGCAGAGAGGATATGGAAATAGACAATGTAGTCAGCCACAGAACTGTGGAGGACAACAGGAAATAAACTCAAGCCAGTCCCCTTGCTATGGACAAAATGGCTCTGGCAGAAGTCAGTCTTGCTGTGCACAACATGGGCTTGGATCAAATCAATCCACTGGCTATGGTCAGTGTGGGTCCACTACTTGTCAGTCCTCTGGTTATAGACAACAAGACTCTGGCTCAGGTCAATCTTGTTGTGGAAAATATGGCTCTGAATCGAGTCAATCCACTGGCTATTGTCAGTGTGGGTCCAGTTCAGGAAAATCCTCTGGCTTTGGAAAACACTGTTCTACCTCAAGTCAGAACACTGCTTTGGGACAGTGTGATTCAGGTCACTCTTCTGATTGTGAACACCAACAACCAAGAGACATCAGGCATAAACACATTAATCACGGACAATCTACACAGTCTGGTTCAGGAAAAAAAGATAGAAGCACAGAGTCTCAGAGCAAAACCAGCAACACAGAGAAAGACTCCCAATTCCCAAATGGACACTCAGGATCCCCGGAGCACCTCACTGGATCTGCACATGGAGAGTCAGAATCCAGAGTTCTGCCAGGAAGACAGAGAACTGCTCACCAGCAGTCAAGAGATATGACCAGGCATTCCCAGTCAGGTGAGCAACAATTCCCTGATTCTGCAGTGACACCAGACAGAAGAAGCAGCCATGTTCACAGTGAGTCCAGCAGCAATGAGGAACACTCAGAGTCCACAAACACACAAACAGGAGGCAATAAGCACCAGGCACAATCTTCACATGGAGAGTCACAATCCACAGGTCAAGGAAGACAGTACACTGCACATCAACAATCACAAGATACCAGCAGACATGGACATAGACAAGCCACACAATCTGGCTCACAAACAACTGGCCAAATTGCTGGTTCTCACAGACAAGCCAGTGACACAGAGGAATACTCGCAAGTCACACATGGACAATCAGGGTCCCCTCAGCACCACACTGGACCTCAACATGGAGGGTCAGCATCCACAGATCAAGAAAGACAGAGAACTGCTCACCATCAGTCAACAGACACCACCAGGCATTCCCAGTCAGGTGAGAGACAATCCCCTCATTCTGCAATGATACCACACAGAAGAAGGCACCATTTTCATAGTGAGTCCAGTGTTAGTGAGGAGCGCTCCTACTCCTCAGACAGACATGCAGAGCCTTCCCTCAACCCAGGTGAATCTCAGCAGAAGCATTTGGGTTCTAGTCAGGCACATTTACCTAATACTCACTCTCATTCAAGAGATAGCATCAGAAAGCATTCATCTAGCCTTCACACTCAGTATGGATCAAAGCACAGCCAATTCCAAAATAATGGCAAACATAAACATGGATCACAACAAGGTTGGAGACATGGTAGCTATGGTTCTTCAGAGTATGACTATGGCCAATCTGGATATGCACCTTCTCAGGCCAGCAGAACTAATAGTCAGAATTCTAGCTCTCTGAGATCTCCAGACATATCTACAAGTACAGAAACGTCTAGCTATGGAAAATCCTTGTCCTTATCTGACCATTTTGAGTCCAACAGAATTGAAGGAATAAGAGAATCAGATTCTTTTCATATACTTTGTGATACAATTTATTCCCACTCTCTTAACTCCTACAATCAGTCTGAGTCCGGTATATCTAAAAGTGAAAGATCTAGTCATGGTCAGCATTTTGTAACTGCTGAACAGTCAAGTGACCCTGATTTTCAATGTGAATATAATAGAACCAGAAAGCAATCATATACTCATAGCCAGTCTAATGGTGACTCTGATCCTAGCCATAGAGACTACATTCCGTTTCATGAACATTTAGAATCTAGATCAAGTAGAAGACAATCTGGTTTAAACACTAAAGAATGGCAAGTACTTAGCCATAGCCCATCAATTGCCAGTGATGAGCTTCTGACTGACAGCAGGAACAGAAGTCAAAGATCTATTTCTAATTCCTCTATCTGGAGCCAAGAACCTGTGGAAACTGAGGAGTATAGGTGTAAATATTTATCACGTACAGCTACATGGAATGGGGGAAGGCAATGGCAAAATTTAGAATCGAATCCATCTGAGTGTGTCAGAAGATACAGTCAGCATTTAGTTGATAATCAGCCAAGAGTCTCTGAGGCCAGAGGTTACTATGGGGGTGGGAGAACTAACTCACGTTGCTTTTACTCAGATAGCAACACTCCACTCTACAAATATGTCCAAGAACAAAGGCATTATTTCTTTGAATAAGAAAGTAGTAGAAAACAAAAGAATCCATGATAAGAACTAATGCAAAGAAGAAGTAAGAAACAGAAAAAGATATGTAATGTAATCTTTTTCTTGGTAGTAGGGCTATATGTATGTTTTTTCACATGAACTGTATTACTTTACTCTATTAATTTTTGATGCAAGATCTTTTCATAGGTTTCATAGTCACTAAACTGTTTGGATAGAAAATTATGAATGGAAGAAGAGATCAGCAGTTGGGATTACATCAGAAATATATGATAAAATGATTATATGTTTACAGGTAAAAGTGAGTATTTAAAAATTTTCTGGAACTCAAAATTTGGATTTTCCTGATTTTGTTTTAATGGTTATAACAAACCTATCCAAGAAGCTAAGAGACACAGCTGAGGAGCTAAAATTTCTTCAGTAACATTATAAGTTAAGTTATAACATTAAGTAACATTATAATACAATTTGCAGTTCCTAGATGAAGATTCAGAATATTTTCATCATTTTAAGTCACTACTGGAGCTCTGTACTACCACATTTGAATTTATTGTCATGCTCTCCTAGTTATAAGAATCATAAAACTATATTGCATTAAAACTGACAATAAACTTTATAAATATACAGTTTATCTCCTTTCTCACCTCCATGAACACAAACATAGATCCCTGTCTTGGTATAAGGGGAGCTGAACATTTTCTTCTATCTCTGGACATCTAGATGGCAGTAAAGTGCTCAAATGTTAGTAATTTAAAAACTCCAAAGAAGGCAAAAGTCAATGATATCTGGGTTTTTTCTCAGTCTTAATAAAAGAAAGACTTTATACTTAGTGGAGGCCGGTGCTTTTGCTCAATCATGATCATCACAGCTAATATTATCAAATATAACCCCAAGTGACTATTTCCTAACACAGTCCAAGTTCTAGGAATAAAAATTATGCAGTATGGATTTTTTTCTCTCAAAAATATTACTTGAAATATCCTTACCACTGAAAGCTAATACAGCCCTGAGATTTCATATAAAAGGAAAACAATTAAAATATATTAAACATATATTCCTGCTTGAAATGAGAAAATGTAAATCTATTGTGACTAGTAAGAGAAAAAAACAAAAAGCAGAAAAATATGTACAAATTATATTAACTTCAGCAGAAATATTACTATCATTAAAAACCAAAGATTATTTTCAGAAAGTTGGACCTAATAAAGATCATTCTCCTAATTTGCAGGTTAAGAGAAAACGTTAAGAAAATATAATGGTAATTCCCTAAAATCAGAACTTGGTATTCTATTCTCTTTGCCCTCAGATAAAGCTGTTTTTCTTCTTTTTGGAATTCAAATTAAAGTGAAAATCATCAAGATGTGTATAAAATCACTATCCCTGACATCACAAAATAGCTGAATGCAGGCACACAACAATCACCACCTTTTCCACAAGGAAGAACCAAAGCAACAAATGTGTGGCTGCATTTTGAGATGAATAATCATAAGAGAAGACTGAAAATCAGCAAGAGAGAGACAGGGACCTTGTAAGCTTCAGAGATTTGGAAAAGAGCATAAAGAAACAAAATATCCTAAGTATCCATCACACCAACTTGACAGCTCAGGGAGAGGGAGACACCAGTTGGCAGGAGTAAAAGAAAAGAGAGAGAAGGGAGAACAAAAAGACTCTATATATGTGGACACTGGGAATCCCAGCTATTGCAAAGTTTCGTAATACTCACAGATTTGTGCTTAGTTATATAAGTAATCTGAAGTCTGCACACCAACCTTACTTTAGAAAAGGATTTCACATCATCTCTCAGTAAACTCCCAGGTCATATCTTAAAAGGGGAATTATTAACTGTATTTGGACTACTCTCAGGGTCAGAAACCCCACATTTTCTCATCTCCAAAACCTCACAGACATTCTACTGCACCTGCATGGTGGATAACTAGCTGCATTGTGAACCAAATTTGGCCCAGAAGAATGACTCTGACTCAAACCAACTGCTTTGTAGGAGATAGATGTTGTGATATGTAAGAGAATGGAAGGGGCCACCTTTAAGAATCAGATGAAAGAACTTGCCTTCTAAGACCACAGATGTGGCCAATCACATGCAGATTTATATCAGTACTGGTACTGAAGGCAGATGCCCAAGCAGTTCCCACTCTCTTCTCTTGTGTTGTACACAGACATTTGCTACTAACAAGACAGGGAAAGAATAATGTGGTTCCACTGGTTCTTGGCCCACATGGGAGTGCTACAATAGCCTTAAATAATACTGTGGCTCTAGCTATCAACTTGCATCTGGGTATGGATGGCTAAGGGGATACCAAGAGGAATTGTGCTAGCTCTGGTCATATCCTATACACACTAATTCACTGATGCCCCTATACCTGAAAGAAAAAAGTCCTGGCCATTCTTGGGTACACACGCCCAGAGAAGGTCCAAGAGGAATTTTGCTTGGCTCTGGTCATGTCCAGTTGCCACTTGTTCCATGGAAAGCACAATAGCTGAAAGAGTCTGGAAAAGCAAATCCCTGGGCATCACCCACACCCAGCCATCCACAGATGGTGGAAAGGGACAAAGGTCCTGCTTATAGAATGGTGCTTCCACAGTAGCAGCAAAAAGGAACTCACAATCCCTACTCCTCTCACACATATGCTGTTCCTACTGCTGACTGCGCCCACATATTGCCTGACTACATGCTGCTTTTGGGACTAAGTCTGAGTACCAACAGTGGGGTAGTGTAATTCTTGCTAGTGCCTCTTACCACAAAGTGCCTGATCTAGTACTGATCTGGTCAGACATGTGCTTCAGCCCTTTTCCCACTATAGGTGTGGTCAGTGCCAGAAACCCTTACAAGTAACAAAGCCAATGTCAACCCCACCTGAGGAAACCTCCATCACTTGAGAGTAATCACCATTCCTAATAGTATACAATGTATTAACTATTACTATTCTCCTATTATCTTGTTATAAAATTTTGTTTTATTTTCTCAATAAAAGAAAATTTAAAAAATAAATGTAAAGTCACATGTGTTCATCTCAATAAATGCAGAAAAAGCATTTAGCAAAGTTCAACATCCATTCATGATAAAGACCCTACCGAAATTTTGAATAGATGGTTTTCTCTCAAGCTAATAAAAACCACCTATGACAAACCAATAGCCAATACCATAATAATGCTCACAAACTGAAAACTTTCACTCTATACTAAGGTACAAGACAAGGATGTCCACTATTACTGCTTCTATTCAGTGTAGTTCTGGAAACATTAGCCAGAGCAACTAGACAAGAGAGAGAAATAAAAGGAATAAGGAGATTAAAGGAATAAGTTAAATACCATTAGTTGCAGATGACAAGATACTGTGCATAGAAGATTCCAAAACTCCACCAAAAGACTTCCAGATTTAATAACCAAATTCAGTGGTACAGCTGCATACATAGTCAACACTCAAAAATCAGCATGATTGATGCACACAAATAACAAACCCATTGAAAGAGAAATTAAAACAACACTTTTAATGATGGCATTAAAAAATGAAGTACTTTGGAATCAATCTAACAACAGAATTAAAAGACTTTTACATTCACAAGTACAATACTCTGAAAAAGAAAATGCAAAACTAACATAGTGAAAATGGTCATACCTCCAAAATTTTTACACAAATTTAATGCAATCCTAATCAAAGTATCGGTTGCATATCTCACAGAACTGGAAGAAACAGTCTTAAATTTCATTTGGAACCAGAAGAGACCTAGAATAGCAAGGCAGGGGACATCACAATCCCTGACTTGAAATTATACTGTGAAGCTACTTTAAAAAAAAAAAAAAAAAAAAAGCATGGTACTAAGGGAAAAAAAATTTCAATGAAACAAATTAGAAGACCTAGACACAAGTATAAATATACTCAGCTATCTTATCTTTGACAAAGGGGCCAAACACCTTCACTGGAAAAAAAAATTGCCTCTTTAATAAATGGTGCTGGGAAACTGGCTTCCCATATGTCAGAGATTAAAACTAAACCCATAGTTGTCACCATGCATTAAACTAAAATCAAAATTGTTCAAGGATCTAAATTTTAAAACAGAAACACTAAATCTGCGCCATTCACAGACTGCAGGGGGAAGACAACAAGGTGTGAACAAGAAGCAAGACCTCCCTGTGAGTCAGCACCATGTGCCAGCCACTAGTGGAAGACCAAATGCTGACCCCTTTCAGCGTGCATGTTGGCACACAAGAAGAGCTAACTCACACACACACACACACACACACACAAGTGACCAGCTGATCTGAAGAAACACAGGTTGAAATTATAGCTATTGAGGTAAAACACAATTTAATACTTGTAGTGTTTAGTGTTTCACTGACTTCGCAGGTCTAAAGCCAGTAGTCTGATCATCTATTTAGAGAATAACAATATTCAATGTAGCTTCTATGCAGGATCACCTTCTGAAAGGAATAACCTTCATTGTTAGCTCCCCTGTTATCTGATTTTGAAGCCCTGTATCATTTTCATTGTTTTGTTGGGTTGGGTTTTATTCTTTTGTGTCTTGTTTGATTTTATTATATCTGATGGCATGGGCAGCTATTTCAGAGATAACAAGATATTCTATGGTTGCCATTTTGGATTCACTGTTACCTTGTTTTGAAGTCCTTTATTGCATTCATTATTTTTTTATTGGTTCTATTCTGTTGTGTTTTGTTTGATTTTTACTGTGTCTGAAGGTATGAGCAGCTATTTTGAAGACAAGAAGAGGCATTATGGTGACCATTGTTGATTTCCTATTATCTTGTTTTGAAGTCTTGCTTCACTTACACTGTTTTGTTTTGATTGGTTTTTATTGTTTTATTTTATCTAGTTTTATTCTCTTTAAAATAAAAAGAAACAGTAAATCTTCTAGAAGATAGAATAGGTTGAACCACAGATGTAGGCAGACTATGAACAAAACGCTGATCTCATGGAAATATTACATATAATCAACAACTGAGATCTTATCTTACTAAAAAGTTTTGAGGAGATCCATGCCATGTTGGAGCTTAGGACTCTGGGAAGCCAAGTCAGCATCTCCCCTCCCTGGTAAGCGGCAGTAGTTTAGCCCACTGCAGCCCTTCCAGGGGGAGAACTAGCAGTGTCTCCTGCGATCCACGCCATGTTGGGGCTTAGGACTCTGGGAAGCCAAGCCAGCATCTCCCCTCCCTGTAAGCGGAGGCAGGGTGGCAGCCTGCAGCCCTTCCAGGGGGAGATCTAGCAGTGTCTCCTGAGATCCATGCCATGTTGGAGCTTAGGACTCTGGGAAGCCAAGCCAGCATCTCCCCTCCATGGTAAGCGGCGGTAGTTTAGCCCACTGCAGCCCTTCCAGGGGGAGAACTAGCAGTGTCATCTGAGATCCACGCCATGTTGGAGCTTAGGACTCTGGGAAGCCAAGCCAGCATCTCCCCTCCCTGGTAAGCGGCGGTAGTTTAGCCCACTGCAGCCCTTCCAGGGGGAGAACTAGCAGTGTCTCCTGAGATCCACGCCATGTTGGAGCTTAGGACTCTGGGAAGCCAAGTCAGCATCTCCCCTCCCTGTAAGCGGAGGCAGGGTGGCAGCCTGCAGCCCTTCCAGGGGGAGAACTAGCAGTGTCTCCTGCGATCCACG